TCCCGCATATTGCAGAGGCACTACCCATTCAGATGAACCAAAACTAACTGTTAGCGCCAACACCGCTATAACAATATATCATAAATAATTCATCGCCTTAGTTTGAGTGTAGTCTATCCAGCATGATAATGAATGCCATGTTAGTGCACTTTTGTAGAACAAATAAAAAGCCAGTAAGGACAACATTTATGACCATTTCATTCTTCTCATTCGCTACTTCGTCCACAGAAACTTACCAAAAAAAATCAATGGAATTGTGAAGGAGAACGTTGCTCCCTAGTATCCTGTGAAAACATCCACTCTGGCGGCTTTGTGTACCCAGTGTAAGAGCTACCTAACTGTTCAACGCTGCTGTGCTGCTTCCGTTTAATAGCCCTACGGTAGGCAAGCTCAACCATCGGATCCGTGGTTTTGCCCTTAATCTTATCATATGAATCTACAACCATATCAAGTATTTTATCCGAAACAGCAAAATCATCTTCGTACAACCGAACAAACTGGTCCTTTTTAACCCGTTTTAATTCATAGGTTGTGATGTTATCCAGTCTCGCAAAACGCACAAGAACGCTGTGGTATTTCTCCTGTGCATACGCCCCCTCGATAAGAAGCCTAATCTTATCATAGCTCTCAGGCATATCACGCTGTTTCATTTCTTGGTTAAGCTTTTCAAAATTTTTCCAGTCCTTAAGCCTCATGCAGCAACGCATAGCGGCGAGATACAAAACCGAACTTGGTGCTCCGTCTGCAACGCCGGGAGTCATTAAAAGGTGCTTCACTTCGTCATAGCGTTTACTAGATTCAATTTTAGAGGCCACTGCCATACGATAGAGCTCCGTTGATATGGGTCTGCCGTCCCGTCGCATGGTTTGTAGGATTTCGAAAGCCTTTTCCCACTTTCCAGTTATCGCACATGAGCGCAGGGGGGCCTCATAACTCTGTTGATATAAAGGAATCCCATTTAATTGCATAGCCTCGAAGAGGGAAACGGCAAGAGCCCAGCTCGTCGGGCGCGGGACATCGGCCGCACGCTCAAGTGACGCTACCTCCTCCGCGGACACCATGGCCAACCGCACGCTGCGCTCATCAGGAGCTATTCTGGTCGCGACCAACACTCGCATGAGGTTCACCACCTCAATATGGCGATGGTGGTGAAAGCATGCCCGAATGGCGGCGTCGTAGGCCTCCGCCGGCACCAGCATTTGGTCTCGCTCCGCGCTTTTGAGGATGCGCAGGCACAGCTCCCATTGGCCGCCCACCTCCGCCAGTTGCGTTGCGCTCTCGATCAGCAGCGGCGTTAGTTCATTGTAGGGCCTAAAATGTGGATCCCGGCGGACCTCAATAAATTTTTCCATCGCAACCTTCCAGGGCGAAGTCTCAACGGAGAAAACAGTGGCGGTCACCGGCGAGGCTGCAAGGGCCGCCCTAAGATATTCAGTAATGAGGTCATCCGTTACCACTGGGCAATGTTTGGGATCCTTTACAAACAGAGCACGGTCTCGCTCATATAATCTATTGAATCGATTGTTTGCCTCAACAAAGTCACCAGCAGCGGCGCATGCCCCCATGAAGGCTGTATGCGCCGCCAGGGATCGTGGTCGGCCGATGCGGCGATAAAAATCATCGTACAGCTCCTTAGCTTTCTGAAGCTTTCCACGACGGCCACAGCGCATGATGGCGTCGCAGATCATAGAATCGGAGGGCATGACATTATGGAGCACGGCGTCTTCTAGCGCTGCACAGCAAACGGCCCATTGGCTAGCGTACTGATGTTTTTCAAGAAACACCTTGAGCTTGGCGAGCCTTGACGCATCTTGACGGGAGACTAGACGATCATGTACAAATTTAGATTGTAACAACTCCGTTAAACCTTTTCTCGGCGTATTCATGTGGCGGTGCAGAAGAGTCGAAGATCGTTTAGATCCCCTCCTTTTTCACGCTCTCCCTTGATGTGTCAAACACCGTAAAAAGTAGTCCAACAATAGCGCCTAGTAAAAAGAAAATCAAGAGAAAAAAAACGAAAAGATAGTGCGTTTATATTTTTGAAAGGAAAGAAACAGAATAATAATAAAAAG